GGCTCTGCCCAGCCCGCATGGCTCCGGCGCGGCCCTGGTGGGATGAGCAGAGGGCCCGGTGGGGAGGCGCTCACTGCCTTTGTTAAAGCTCTGCCGCCGGGAAGGAGGGCCCGCCTGTCAGCTGCGCTGGGCGCCCCAGGCGGAGCGCGAACAGGGATTTGCCCATTGGCTTCTTTGGGTTACGGAATTAAGAAAACAGCTCCCAACAACTGAATTTGGTCTGAATTTAGGATTTAAAGGAAGATGCTTCCAGTCCACTCAAAGAGCACTCGCCAGACATCGTATAAGCTGAGGGCTTGCTGGGGTTCTTTCTCACCCCTTTACTCAGTGCTTGCGCTTTGCTCGAACAAGCGAATTGGAACATTTCGGGCGCCTCTGCTGCCTCCTCGCCCATCGCAGGTGGCAGCGGCGGCAAGCGGCGGTGCTTCGCTGAGGGAAAAAGAAGACAGCGCAGCTGCCTTGCTTGCTTTCCCGCCTGCCCGCCCCAGCCGGCCTCAGGAGCGGCGGTGGTGGCAGCAGGTGCGCACGCTCCTGCCGGCGAAGGGAGGAAAGGTGAGGAAAGAGAAGGGAGCGCGGCAGCAGCGGCTGTCACAGTATCGTGGACCTTGCATTGAAGCAGCCCGGGGGGCACGCAGCCACCTCCCTCCAGCCCACCTTGAGGATTTGCCGCGGCTCGCTTTCCCGGCTCTGCCCAGCCCGCACGGCTCTGGCACGGCCCTGGTTGGATGAGCGGAGGTTTTTAAAATAATTCGCTTTACCTTCGAAGGCAAAGGGAAGGCGGCGACAGGAGCGCCTGAAGCCAAGTGTCTCCTCAGGGCTCCGGTTGCAGGGAGGAGCCCTGACTGGCTGCACATGGCTGCGCCAAACGCTGCGCTGTTCCTCTAACGCAAGGGAAAAGGGAAAGCAACGGTGTGAAGTGCCCCACCAACGCAGGCAGCACCATATCCGGGCATGCAACAAAGTACTTCCTAACGGCAAGCCCCCCCGCCATTCCCCCCCATTTCGCATTTTTTAATATGGGGCTTAATTTGGGGGGAGGGGCTTAATTTGATTTTATGCCAATAAATCATACTGGGGCTTCCTATTGGTGGAAGCCGTATTGTTGGAGAAACACGGTATTTAGCATCAAACAGTTATAGTGTTGTTGTTTTTTGACATAAGTTATTTGACACAAACTGAATGGTGCATTTTGAGTCAATTAGAAACATCTAAGCATAGTAAAATGTAAAGTATTTGATCTTCTCAGACTAAAAATCCTGCCCACAATTCCTGGTTATTTGAAGAACAAAATATTCCAAATCAATCAGAAGCCAATTTCTTTTAATTATAATAAAATATTTCTGGTCACAGTTACTTTAAATGTAGGACAATAAAAACAGGTTATTTGCACATTGTTCAAGCTTGGATGTTTGTTACTCACTCGCATTATTTCATGCACAGCTCGGCAGGCTTCTTCTTTATTAGCAGCTACAATCACACCTTTTCCCGCAGCCAGACCACTTGCTTTTACAACTAGAGCAGGGAAAGATGCACTTAGGGGTGGGGGTGGGAGGATGAAATAAAACATTAAGTAAGCAGGCGAGATACATTATAAATTGCAAACTTTATCAAATGCAGGGACAGTGGAATAAAAGATGTTATACTATACCTGGTAATAAAAGTGCAAGCTTCTTCCTCATTAGTGAAAGCTTTCCATCTTGCAGTAGGGATGCCATGACGATCTAGGAAGGCCTTTGAAAAACTCTTACTTGACTCTAGCTGGGCTGCCTTTGCTGTAGGACCAAAACATCTCACACCGGCAGCTGCCAAGTCATCAACAATTCCTAACAAAAAACATGCCTCAAAGTCAGATGGACTTTCACACAACTGCCTACATCAGGGGTGTCAAACTTGCATCATCATGTTGTCGTCCTGTTACATATCACTTTTTCCCTATTCACTAAAACAGGGGTGGGTGTGGCCAGCATGTGACGCGTCCGGCCTGCAAGCCATGAGTTTGACACCCCTGGCCTACATGCATTCCATGTGCATGTTTTTATGTAGTCCAAATGACACTATCCATACTCAAAATAGACAAACTATCAGCGAACTCAACATGTTACAAAATACGACTATAAATACTCAATGAAACCCTGAGCATGCTCAGCAGCCAGAATGCTAGAATCAGAAAACCAGAAAAGAGAAGGAATGAAATGAATTATATTTAAAAAGGTACAGGTGAATGGTCAGTATCTCAAGAGGGAAACTGTAACTCTATAAATTCTACTATTTACATCTTTTATGGTTAAAGTTGTTATGAACTAATAAAAACTATTTAATAAAACGTATCAACCTCATGATAAGCAGGCTTGTAATCCTGCACCTTTGATTGGCCCATGGATAGCGAACAGGGATTGGTCCTTACGGAGCAACCTGATTGGCTATTAGTTTAACATCTCTCATTGGGCAAAAGTTAAGCATTTGGACACAAGTCATTGGTTAACGGGTCAGCAGCCAGCTCTATAAAAGGGCTACTGCTGCCCCAGGTTTTACACACGCTCTGTTCTTAATCCTTAATAAAGAGTTGAAGTTCACTAGTTCTCTGACTCGTCTCCGTTCCTTGCACCCATGCCCAGAATATAACAAAAGTCTTCCCTACAAACTGGGATGAGATTTATCAATATGATGGACATCTATTGCTGTATCAATTTCTTTGACAGTGTCATGAGTCAAACTGTGAGTTGCTCAAAAGAAAATGCTACATCTTAAACAGAATTGACCCAACAAATGTTTCTGAATTGTGATTCAATGATAGCAGCAGGTTAAAGTACCCCATTAAGTAATAAATAACAATGTTATGTTACATCTGTTATTATATTCTGACTGAGGAATATTCTGCGGCGCATGCACATTAAATACCTATGCATGTTTTAATCCCATTAGCATATAATTATATAATAACTAGCTGGATACCCGTGCTTCATGACAAACCTTTGTGATTGGGCTATGCAGGAGAAATTTGGTTCACAATCCGTTGTCTCAGTGGTGGTTGGTGATTGAAACACATAAGGGAATATCGCTCCCGCCACCTTGAGTCTGGCAGCAATTCTATAGGTGGAAGGCGTAGACATTTTGGTGAGGTACCGACGTTTAGTGTTTTAAGGAGCCCCAGACTGCTTCTGAGTGAAGGAGTGGAATGTCTGCCAGTTTGAACTGAGGTAACAGAATGTGAGGCAACTGGCAGATGGAAGAGAGTTCTTTTCAGGTGGGGAGAGGGAGTAGAATGTCTAACTCCTTAGCATCAGAGCGCGTTAATATAAGACAACTGGCAGTTGGAATAGAGTTCTTTTCAGGTGGGGAGGAGAGTAGAACTCCTTAGCATCACAGTGTGTTAATTACTGCCTAAGAAATACTAATAATCTGATGGTCATTTCAAAAATCCTTTCTTAGCAAGCATTTACAAGCCAAGAGGAACGTATGTGCCAAATTTCAAGTTTGTAGGCTTTATGGTTCTGGAGATTTCGTGATTAGTGAGTGGTACTTTGCTTTTATATATATAGATTAGATAGATTAGATATTAGATGTCCAGAATATTTTATACAATTATATAACATCAACCAGTTAATAGGTTAGGAGACTGGAACAGCAAAGTAAAATAATTTCATTTGGACATACCAGCAGCAAGGGGGACTTCTGGACCGATCACCACAAGGCCAATCTTCTGGTCTCTGCAGTATGTAGAAAGGGCTGCATGATCACTGACTGAGATTGCTATCAGGAGATAAACAAAAAACTTGCAATTATTTATTACTTATAGTATGGTTCTATCCTCCTCTTCCATTTTTTTATGAGAAAGCCAAAGAGTTTAGAAACAGAATTGTTTCTTAAGAGCAATTACAGGTATGATATGAAAGACTATTGGGGCACTGTGGAAGGAAGAGAAAAGATAGCAGTTGAATCAGTTCAAGCTTATTTTATGAAAAGCCCAGATGGGAAGAAACATCTAAAAGCATGCAAAGAGGCATCATCTTATTCACTATACATGAGGCTGAGAAATTCTTATTGGAATATCCAAGATTTTACTCCAAATCCCAAACATATCTAAGTGAGTTGGGCTGAGAGAGACTGCTGGTTTAAAGTTACCCAGCTGACGCCCAGTTTTAACCACTGGACCAAGCTCTTTCTCTTATGTTGCTGCCTCTGAAATTGTTTACATTTTAGTAATTGTTGCATGCTATTTGTTTAGTTTCCAGTATAAGCCAAAAGTATACAATTAGTTTAAGAACTGATGCAACAATTTAGCCTCTCCTTTCCTGGTAAATTGCAGAGTATTTTTATTATTCCAAGGAAAAGATATTCTACAATGATAAAATTAAGAGGCTTCATATCCTTGACTAATTTGTAAAGGTGAATTTTTGAAGTCATGCCACACATTGTACTTCAAACCAAATGATTCTAGAGCATGATCTAGAAGATTAATGTTGTAGCAAAATCCTCATGGACAAAAAGTTCATTCTACATGTAATGTTTGACGATAGAAAGTCAAGCATGTGATTAAAAAAGACCTCATTACTCCCAGACTTTTATCAAAAATAAATACCGTAACTCCAAAGTCTAAAGTGAACTGGCAAAGGTGAGCCAATTAGGCAAGACCATCTCTTACCTCTCCTTTTTTATTTCTGGAGAGCTGTGAGATGTAACCGTATTAGTGTGGCAAGAATTTTGGCAAACATTTGCAAACTCTTTCATTAACCAGGCACATTTAATATCACACTGGGATGTTACTCTTGAAATGGTTTAATTCTCATATCAGAAATGTTCCAATTAATTAACAGTCCACACAAGTTAATTCTCACATCCGAAAAGCCTTGAAAACACACTGCCGTTTTTAGGGCAGCTTTAGGATTTACACCGTGACAAAGGTTTTGCTTCACTTTGGTATTGCTGGCCAGACATCTGTAATACACTTGCATTCTATTTTAATAATCAAAAACCAAGAAGACTGACAGACCAAGAAAATGGTTTTGTATCTTACAATTTCACCATTTTTAAAAACATGGTACTTAGGAAGAGAGTCTTTTTAACGGGCTTATGGAAAAATATAGAGGGCAACAGAAAGTCTCTATAGTCCTTATTTATTACATTCTTTCTTCTTAGCTAATTTTTCTATCTCACCTGCTTCAGAATAAAAGAAAGGACAATAGCAAAAATACACTCTTTGAAAATGCCATATTAATGAACTTTTATTTGTGGATGCAAATATGTATCCCTCTTCAAAGATACAGTAGAAAACAAATTGTCTCATTATTGCTATGTGTGAAGATCCAGTGCTTATATCTCTGGAAACCTTGCTAAATGTTACATTCCAGTGACAGAATGTATGGATCTTATTCTTCAAACTTCTGAAATAACATCTGAAACAAGCAATTTTATATATTTTGACATATTTACTTGACCATGACATTGGAAACTGGAACAGAAACAAATGAGGTGTTTATTTTCTTTGTTGGATACTACATGAAAAGCATAAAATATAAACACAAAGAATATCAAGACTCCTCTTCTAAGGGGCTCAACCTTTATAAAATCAAAAACAAAAATAAATTGTTTATGCAATAAGATTGTTCAGCTGTAACATAAAAAGCAGTCTGGTATTGCAACATCAACCCTTGTTTCAAATATATTTTATCATAAACCAGGATTAAAAGTTATTCATCGCCAGAACTCAGCCCAAGTTTACCAGGCTTGATGTTGAACTTGAACACCACAATGCCCTTTTAAACTTCAACTGCAGATATTTAAACTATGGTTTTTAATATATAATTTATTCAGTGAATCTGTTTTTCTCTGCTCCTGCTTAGGTTTATAACCTCTTTATTACAATTAACTCTACCTGCCTTTCAGAACAAAAATTCTACTACGCAAAAAATGGTTTCATTTTTTAAAAAGAACAACCCTAATTTCTAGGATCCTTCCAATATAACATAGATGGAAATAGCTCTGAGAGTCATGACACTTCTGGATTGCTCTTCCCCCTCTTTTCAAACCCATCTTAAAGAACACTACTATATAACAAATACCCACAAACAGCTAGAGTTTTTCTTGAAATGAGCGGCATCACATACGCTAAAAAAAAGTTGGACTCAGGAATCAGTGAATTGCTACCTGGTGTTTCTACTGGACACGTGGAAAAGTCTGACTAAAATTCTTCCAAATCATTTATTCAAATCAAGGGGCTATATAAACAGAACATGTGCTTTCGCTAAGCTGAATTTTCCTTCTTCATTCCTAATATTTTAAGCAGCTACAGATGACATTTATAGTTCTTTCTTCGCGTTCCAATAACGATGTCTCCAAAAAAAAAAAAAAAAAAAGGAATATGTGGCCATGACTATAATTTGGGTCTTATCACGAAAGCAATTTTTTTGAAAATAAATCAAATTTAATTCAGTGAACATGAAGAAAAAAGATTTTTGTTCAAACTTGTATATTTAACTTATCATATGACCATCATAAGAGTGCCATGGGACATCCCATTCTCCACATAAAAAGGATAACTAAATGAAGCAAATATATTTCTACAAATCTGGCGGAAGCCTGAAAAGAAACAAGACTGCTTTATTGGGTATACTGAATTGCAGATAAAATAATGGGCAAAGGAGATTCTATGTCTGGATTTTTCATGCATAGAAACAGCTAGCATTTGCTGGCTTGCTAGGACGAATGTTTTGGTGCATACCAGCAAGTGTAACGGACCCAAAAATTATTCCTGACTTGGAAATACCCTCTTTTGACGTAGCTAATAATTGCCCCGGTTTGCCAAAACCTCTAAAAAAGTACAGTGCATTGTTGAAGGTTTATATTTAGCTGGAACTCTTGTTAGAGGAAGAGCTCCTGAATATGTATGCTGGAAGAATATTGAGTAATTAAATCATAGAGCATCCCATTAAAAATAAGTAAATACTCATAATGTAACATATTATGTAGAATATGGGCTTAGCCCAGCTGCTAATTAATGCTGAGAGATTTTCACTATATTTGAAATATAACCAAGTTTTATTAAGAATACAAACATAGGAAAGCTCACTTCTAGATGAGAAATTTCTTTCTCACAGTGGCCAACGGATGACTATGTTGCATTCAACAAAGAGTCAAGCACAGCTATCTACCACTAATACTCTCTTAGAATTAAGTATTTTGCATCTCATTGTTTCTGAATCTAATATTTTGAGAGAAAAAGAAAAAATCTTGTCATCTTTCTTTCCTATTTCATATATCTCAAGAATTGACTCCTAGCAATCAGAGTTTTGAAATGCGGATCCGTCTCTGGTCTATTGACTATAATAAACTGATTGATTGATTGATTGAATGCGGATCCAGGTACATATGTACTGTACACAATAATCAACTAGATTGGACCTAAATGTGCAACACCAATAATGTTTCATCCATCTATATTCACATTTATGAAATTCAATGTTTTAAACACAGAAAAAAACAGAAGCTCAGTCAAACACACGCAGCAGAAGCAAACTTCAAACTGTTCACTGTAATCTGAGAATCTGCATACATTCTAAGTCCAGAAAGGTCAAAACACTGATTAACCAAACTGCAAGTCTTGTAATTCAATATGAAGCAAAAATACCAAAACATCATTTTTTCAATTCAAAGGAAGGCTCAAAGAAAAATGATATATCTCTCCAATTTCAAGATAGGAGAAAGGTTCGGTATACATATATAGAAGAATTAATAGACTATACTTTTAAAACATGCTTTAAACGTTTTTCTAATTATTTCCAAGTCCATTTCTCCCCCAAATCCATTCCTCGTTACCAAACCACAGTCTGTTCCATATTCAATATTTTATCATTGTCTCATTCACGATCTTTTTCATCATAAACCATCCAATCAATCAATCAATCACGCACAGGAATGTTTAACTATTTGGCTTTAAGAACCTTTCCTACCTTAGGTCCAAATAAATGCATATGCCTAATCATTTATTTTGATGCATACTTTGTCATATGTATATGTGAATAAGTTTGTTTAGAAGTCTGTAATAGTATTTCCTCCCCTCCCAAGGTCTGCACACTCCCAACACCCTATCTTCAAGAAAGGTCATTTGCAACATGTCATCAAGAAGAGCAACCAGTGCTGCCCCCATACTGTAAGCCATTCTGGTAATCTATTTCCTCCAGAATTCTCTGGAGTTGAAGTCCAAGCATCTTTTCAACATCATTATCTAAAAAAGGAAAGATGGATATTAGATGGAAATTGTCCCAAACGGTCTTTCTCCCTTCAGTCTTTTTCTCATTCACTTTCCCCCTCCTCTCCTCCTTCTTCACTTCCTCAGACAACTCCCTCCTGGATCACCTTGTGTGGCCAAGCTCAGTGTAACTGAGAGGTTACCCACCATGGAGTACAAGGACTGTATCCTTAGGTACATCAATCATGCAGCCCAACAAGGTCTTGCTGTTGTTGTAAATCTCTCTGGATGAGACTGAGGCCAGCTGCTAAGTCACTACCACAAGATTACTCCTTTTCCTGAAGCATGTCCCATGTTCAGCCTGAATACCTAAGAAGAACACTGACTTCATTGGGAAGCTATTTCAATTGTTGCAACTACAGAATATGAAGTGGAGAGCTGCATAAGGCTCACAAGCTGCAAGTTTGAGACTCCAGTCTAAATGATGATAATTTATATTTTATGATATACATATTAGTCATTTTATTCTTAATGAAATCTATATTTCTGCTTAGACATGTATTCATTAATTCTATTCCATTAGTTCTAAACACCTTCTCTTAGCTTCACTAGCCTTCCCTTCTCTTCCCTTAATCATGCTCTTTCATCATACTTTTGGTCAATTGTGAAGATATAAAATAGACTGTCAGCCTTAGACACATCTGTACTACATGCAGCTTTCCCTGCTGATGGTAAGAATGTCACTTTTAGTACATTTGGTCAATATGCCATAAGTAGATTAAAGTAGATCAAACGCCCCAAAGCCCTGCTTTGCTCCAAGTATGATTATATTATGCTATATAAATTAAGTTCTAATTTACCTCATAAAACATTCCTATGCCTGTTTTAGTAGTTGCCATAAAAAGTGGGGGGAGGGAGGAAATCTGGAAGAGCAGTGCAGCAGTTTGAAAGCAAAAGTACATTCCAACTCTTATCTTTAAAATATTGTAACTAAAATACCAGAGCTTTTGCCTGAAAATATATTTAATTGGAGAATGTGAATGATGACACCCACCCTGTGAATGTGCTCAATTGGAGAATCTGGTTTATAAGACACCCGGGGGGAGGGGGGAAACAGAGTCACAGGTGACTGTAAATTACATATGTCAGAGTTGGCTTCATACAGGGCAGTGTCAGTATGTTACCTCTAATGAATCCTTTGAAATTTTTTGAAATCATGATTTAATTGGAGCGATTGCTAGAATCCTGACACTTTGTAAAATAGCATACATCACCAACTAGGAGATACATTTAAATCTATGTAATATTCTGATATATTCATATGCTGCTTACTTTTATAGAATCATAGGGCTGACCTGGACATGAATCTCCACACAAATGGCTATCCAAATTTTGTTCAAAAGGGTTGTTTCCAACTTTAAAAAAGAAAATCTCCAGTGAAAGACCACGTACGACTCCAGAAGACAGACTGCTCAACTGCTTAAAATCTCTCACAGGAATAAAATTACACTTTATTTCAGATGTAGATCTTTGAAATGCTTCTTATTCTATCTTCAGGTACCACACCCTCCTGCCTATAAAAGCTTTTTAAGTCTCCCTTAAACCTTCTCTTCTTTAGGCTAAACATAGTCAGTTCTTTAAACTTATCTTCATGGGATTTAGTGTCCAGATTTGCTGAAGTCTTCCTAGTTCCTCAACATCCTTCTTTTATTGTGGCAATCAAAGTTGAACACAGCATTCCAGGTGTAGTCTGATAAATGTAGTATAGAGTACAGCCATAATTTTCCATGATCACAACGCTATATTTCTTTTTTTTTATATCCATCATTTTAATCATATTTTCTAAAATTATTTCTGTTTATAATATAACAATGCTATCTTATGTACCTTTGCAGAATCCCTTTTGCAATTAAATTTTCACCCATTATCTCTAAACAAGCTTATGGTTACAATCCTTATATCTTTTCCCTGTTTCTCCATTTCTTGTTTCTGTCTTTTACAACTTCTTTTCCTTGCCTTCTTCCCCCTCTTCTTCTCCCTCCCCTTTTTACCCCCTCGTCTCTCTACTTCTAATTCTCTCATCTGTAATCCCCTCTTCTGTTGCTTTCTAATATTATACTTATCTTTCAAATTCTTCTTCTTCTTTTTGGTTGTTTTTTCTAGTCTTAAACCTTTCACTCTCTTTCCCCCCTTTTCTTTTTTTCCCCCACTTAAAATTATTTGATCATTAAAGATGGCTTCTTCTTTGTCCCAATCTTCTTGTTCTGCAAGCGTTTCTTGTTGTTTCTCATCATTCCAGATCTCCATTTCTAAGAATTGAAATACGAAGCCAAAAGAACCTCTCCCTTCTTGTGCATCTTCTTTGTACTTTTTAAGTTCCATTTTTAGTTCTTCTAAGAGTGATACCATTTTAAAGACTTTTAAACAACCACCCGGTTAATTTTAGTCATCTAGATGCAAAAACCAAAAATCACCAAGTAATCCAAATAATCCAAGGCTGTTTCTTTCTGCTTCTTTTTTCCACTTTCTCTTCCTGGGGTTCTATTATTTTGTTACCAAGTTTCAATTAAGATGTATCTTTGAGGAATCTTGTTGAAATTTCACTGTAAGTTCCTTTTAGTTACAGTTCCATTCCTTAGTTCCAGGCAGTCTCCTCCATTTTTCCAGATCCTGCCCTTTTATTCTTTTTTTTTTTCTCCTTTCCTGCTTTAATTTTTTTTTAAATATCCAGAAATCTTTATTATCCCTTTGACTTTTATTTTCAGCTTAGATGCCTATTAATGTCAAAGTGGATTTTTTTCAATTTCTTGCTTAAGTCTCTTAGCTGTCAGTATAAGGAAGGGAAGAAAAAAAACCTAATCCTTTCCCTTCTCTCTCTTTCGCAGCTTCAAAATCTTCTTTGGGAACAATGTTGTTAAGTTTAAATTCCAGGGTACCTTATTTGTTGATTTTGCTGTTTGACCCGGTCAGCCAAGACTTTCTCTTCTTATCTTCCTCCTGCACATTCTTTTCCGATTGAGTTCTTCTTTGTGGTGGCCATTTCTGACCACCGCTACAACCGCCTTCGAGAAAGGGAGTAATGGCCAGCTGGGGAGGAGAGATGCGGCTCTCCTCAACCCTGCAGGCAGTCTCCCCCTTCTTCACCACCTCTACGTGGTGGCTTAGCCCCGAAACCAGCCGGCTCAGGGCGCTCCAGCGGCGAGCACGGATCAAAGCCTCGCCACAACGATGTATTTCTGTTGATGCAGCCTAAGGTTTCTTTGGCTATTTTAGTAACTGCAACACATTGCTGGTTCATGCCTAATCTATGGTCTACCAGGACATTCAAATCCCTCTCATATGTATCACCACTGAGCTAGGTATTATCTACCTTGTTCCTGTCCATCTGGTTTTTTTTTCTTTCCTAAACGTAGAACCCTACATTTCTTGCCACTAAATTGGGTTTTCTTGGAAAAGGCTCATGTTCATATCTGTCAAGAACCTTCTGAATGTTAATAATATTTTTTCAATTCTCTATTTATCCCTGTCTCCCAATTATTTATAAAAGATGTGGAAAGTACTGGGCCCAGGAGACAACCCCGAGATAGCCTACGGCAGTGATGGCAAACCTATGGCATGCATGCCACAGGTGGCAGACAGAGCCATTTGTGTGGGCACGCAAGCCCCAACCAAACTTACCTGCTATGTGCATGTGCACACCTCCTAGCTGATTTTTGGCATGATTGAGGCCATTTTTGCCCTCCTGGGGGCTCAAGGGAAGCCTCTGCAGCCTCGGAAGGCCGAAAAATGGACCTTCCAGAAATACCGGAAGTGCCGAAACGGGCCCGTTTTCAGCCTCCCGAGACTGCAGAGGCTTCCCTTGAGCCCCCCGGAGGGCAAAAACGGTCTCCCCCGGGCTCCAGAAGCCCCCCGTAGGTTGAAAATGGGAGGGGGTGTTGCGCACACATGCGCAGGGGGGACGGGGTGTCTTGCATTGTGGGTGCTAGCATGCATGCGCATGCGTTGGCAAATGCGTGCGTGCTTTTGCCACACCACAAGAAAAAGGGTTGCCGTCACTGGCTTACTGGATACTTTTTTCATTACAGATAGTGTACATTTGGAAAAGTGCATATATAATTATTTCACTTAAACAACTTTTGAGTTTTCTGCACATATTTTGCAATTGTCCTCAAGATGCAGAGTTAGGGAGGAACTCTGAATTCAAGTCTTAATGTCATTATTAATGCTAGTGAATACACAGAAACAAATAATATATAGTGACAATTTTGGAAGACCAGTGGAAGATGAAAAAAATAATTCAGGTTTCTAAATAAGAAAAACCTGTGCTAGCCTAGTTTTATTTATTCTTCTTCCAGAAATCTACAAAAGAACAATGCATGCAGGAAAGCCATAAATTTATCAACACAAAAGATTGCAAGACAGATCCTTAAGTGGTATATATCTTATTTCAGTTTTCTATTATTACCTGAATTAGAAATTTTCCCATTATTGGCTGTCCCAGCATTTCCTGGAGCAACCAGTACTTGTTTCAGGTGTGGAGATTGTGCCAGTTTCCAAGCCAGTGCATGTTCTCTGCCTCCACTGCCAATCACAAGCACTCGATCAGCCATCAGTCTGTGAAGAAGGAAAACATAGACACACATTAGATATTGCACTGAGTTACTGCTTAAAAAAACGTGGTTTGCACATTTATCACAATACTGTAAAAATTCTTTTTTCCTCTAAAAGAGAAGCCATGTTTGTTAAAAACACCATGTTTAAAAAAAAAAACCAAAACATCTGAACACCAATTTTTTCCAATCTATCATATAGCAAAGTATAACACTGTTAAAAACATTATGTAAGAGGAATGCCATGAGCAGCGCTTCTTTTTCTATTTTAGTGCATTTAAGAATATATTTCATACTCTTCTGAAAGTGTACACAGTTAATGAAAGACAAATGTCAAAATGTCTTTCAAGTTACTACCAGTATTTAATGTGCATACCTTCCCACTTAAAAAAATCAAGAGTTAATTGGGGCTACACCTCAAGAAATATATTTTGGATTGCAGCCTGAGCCGTGCACCGGAAAAACAGGAAGTCCAGTCTTACCAGGATAGGATATGGAGTGCATTTAATCCCATTCACTTCTACTCAGTCAAACTGCACAGCCTCCTACTTTATTTCAGGTACATTTTATCTTTTTTTCTATAGCAAAACTACAAAAAATTAAAACTGGTGGATTATCTTGTTTGTAAGGTCTCTATTTAGAGCAGGGGT